AGAGCAGTCTTACAAATGATATTCCCATTGGTTAGCTAAGAGATAATTAAGATTCTTTCTTTTAAAAAAATCTCAAGATGAAGACACTCTCACCTCACAGTATGGCCAGAAACTAACACAACAGATGTTTCAGAATGCTCATACTGGCCCAGACAAATTTGATAAAACGTGAAAAAATTGGATTTTGTTGTACTGCATGTGACACTGAAACTCAAAATAAAATTTAAAAAATAACAGCAGCTGAATCAAGACTTAGAATGTATTTATTGTTAAGAATTTAACCATTTTTAAAAATTGTATTTATTGATAAATCAAAATATTGAGTTATGTCCCCAAAATTCGATGACCACTGTAATTTTTATTTTTGTATATTTGGATATTATACATAAATAGATATTATATGCTATTGCTAAGTGAATAGCTTGAAATATTTAATTTTTGTTTTTGTAATCTAAGAAGTCCCATCTTTATATAAACAGAAGCCATGCTGGTCTTTCAGTGATAGGTAATTGCTATGGGGTTGGAGTCCAGGACTGAAAAACGTAGATAATTGGTTTGGACAGAAATTGAGTTCAACACAGTTCCTTTTTGCATCAATAATTTAATAGAAAATTAATGTCTTCATTAATATTGTATTCATAACAAAATGAATCATCCATTCATTATATATATGTAAATATACATATATACATATGTATATATATTTGTCATATATATATATATATTTGTCTACTCTGGTTAGAATCCATTGTCTCACTAAATGAAGAGAAATGACTCTCAGGTTCTTGGCAAACTGTGTGTCCAGTATCTCCTATCCACCTTTGAAGGAAACACCAGAACAGCAACATAAGCATCCAACCCAGCGTTTGCAGAAACTGTCCTGATCATCCACACATCTAGAGTTGCTCCATGTCCTTCCCTCTTCCTTCCTGACTCCCCTTCCCAAGGGCATCTTTCTCTGAAAAAATGAATCTCATCAACGATATATCAGCAAGAACCTTTCAAGGAAAAATATTCTCAAGTCATGCATTTTTAAGAAGTCATGGATATTCTTCCCAACAAATGAAATAGATATCAAAGAGGTAAATAGCAAAGAAGGATCAAAGTGTAAACACATGAATTAAAAATAAATTTATGTAATCATAAGAAAATTTGTTTCCTTTCCCAGTTTGCCTTCTGATTGTCTTTATTTGTTCTTTTTCTCTTTCTGGCCTTCCTCTGTGAGGTTTTCCCCTCCCTGTCCACCTCCTCCTTCTTCCCCTCCTCTCTCTTTTTCCCCCTCTTCCTTATTTCATTATTATCAAGGAGTTCCATAAGATACTTATAAGCTAACCCAAACTCAAATATAGAACTTCAGAAAGATACAATAAATAGTTTCTGCTTTCATGTGGGGTAGAGGAAGTAAAAAACACCAGTTCATTTATCTCCATCATTATCAAGATAATTGAAATAATCCTTGACAGAATCCAGGCAAAGGTGGTAGAAAGTGTCAGAAGAGAAATTGGATGTTCATGGAAACTTAAAGGCCTGGAGCGCTCAGGGGAACTGGAGGCTGAAGCCACCTCCCACTTGTTCTCTTTGAATAAGTCATGGAAAATTGGAAAAGAGAAGAGGGGAGGGGAGGGAGGGCTGTAAGAGGGAGGGGAGGAGAGAGGAGGAGGGGGAAGAGAGAAGGAGAGAAGGGGAGCTGGAAGGGAAGAGAGAGGAGAGGACAGGAGAGCAGAGCAGAGGAGAGGAAGCTGTTCAGGAAAAGGAGTGTGAAATAGGAGAGAGGAGTAAAACCAACACCCACTATTTGCATGTATGGCAAAATCAATGTCATGATTATGTACAGTGAATACATGCTAGCATTTTAAAAACAGAGAATACAGCTAATGAGGAAATCCCAGGGACTCACCCCCTTTTTTAATATTTTAAGTTATATGAAGAAAGGATGAGATTCATACTGGTGAAAAGAAATACTTTCACATGGTACAGACCAAAAATAACGAAGCCTGGAATGGAGGTGATCTCAACAGACATGCGGGAGCCGACAGATTTGTATCTGCTTATTCGTTTTAGCTGTCTGTGGAACACGTGAGTAAATAAATGCACTTCAGAAAGGAGCTTTTCCATTTCTGAAGGATTCATTTGGAAGTTGGAAAGAAGCTCACAAGTACAGAGGAAATCATCTGGACTGAGGAAAACTAAAGCTGCCGGAGGGCTGGTGCTCACAGAAACTCAGTATCGAACAGCTAAGTGTGTGTAGAGACCCGGTAAATAGACCAGATAAATGGCAATGAATAAAAAAGCACTATGTGTATGTGTTATATGTGCATGTCTCTGTGTAGGTATGTATGCACGAACAATGTAGAAAAACATCTACATGCTACACTCATTGCTTATCCTGAGCTCAGAGTGTCAAGCAAGAGAGAAACCTCTCATTTCCAACCTCTAACAAAATGCTTTTCACACTAGCAATGACTTGTCACAGAAAACATTTTAGTAGTTAAAAAAATGTAAAGTAGTAAGTCATCATTCCCACAGCCCTGGCTCTCCTGATATATTTTTAGAACTTAGCAGTAGTGGTTGTCAAATTTAATACATAATTTGTGTCAAATTCTTGTGTATAAGGCCAAGGACATCAAGTACAGGTTTGTTACATGAGATATTTTAATGCTGATGGAAAATTAAGAATTGTGCTCAGGAAATGAATTTTCACTGTTCTGACTCATAACAGAACTCACTGCACACTCTTCAGGGCACAACAGACACTTTTAACCGTTAAATGAAGGGTGGCACATAGGGCTAGAATTAGGACTTGAGGAGAGGTAGAAAACCTGCACCCTACCTGTACTCTTTCCTCCACTACTGTGCCCTAGAATTAGTTAGAACTTTTGAATAAGCATCTTGTGTCCAGCTGCCATGGCAAAGAGGCAGACAGCAAAAGGATCAGAGATATTTTATAAATATGAACACAACATTACTTTTGGCCTGGAAGAACTTAAATTTGACATTGGTCTCATGTGGATTTCAGGAGTTAAATAACATGCTGGATCGGTGTGTATTTTCTACCCACGCCTCATTTATATTTTATGGTACTTTTTTTATTTTTTAAAGCATATAAAAAAGTTGTTGCCTGAAAGTTTATTTCCTGTAGATACTGAGTTAATTTAACATACGAAGATAAAATGTGGGATCTAAGTCATTTGTTTCTTAATAAAGAAAAGTATATACTTGAAAACTTTAATACATTCTCAAATATATAAACTGAATCGAAAATGTGTCTGGAAATGCTAAGCACTATTTTCTAATGCAAATGATTATTGTGTATGTATATTTCCAACAATAAGTACACAGAAAGACTAACAGTGTTGTGTAGAGAAGAATTTATCCTCAGTTTTATGGGAGCAATCATGCTAAACCTGATCTTTCAAAATCTTTCTTCCCATTAGCTATCACCTATCCATCATGTTGATGAATTATCTGCATCTATTTGTTTATAGAACAAAATATTTAGCAAGGTTTATTTAAAGGATTGTAGACCCCTTTTAATATATTTTGATGATGAATTCAAGTAAACTTCTGTAAAAAAATAAAATAAAATAAAAAACTAAATAAACTGATTTAAAACCTTGAGGGTGATTTGCTCTGAGGCCTGAAGGTATCTCAGGGTTCTTTCATTTACAAGTGGAAATATGCTAATTGATGATAAAAATGCATATAGACAACCTTAAATTCTTCCTCATTATTTCCTTTAGTTTATAACAAAAACCATAGAGGGATGATAACATGAGAAGTAGTTTGTACATTATGACAAGATTCTGTAGTTCTATTAATTTTTAAAAAGCACCTTTATGTTGAAAACCTAAACCAAACAAATTCACAACTGACCTAATTGAATTTTTAAATTTCATCCTTCCACTTAAGAAGCAAAACAAACTTATTGTGATAATAACAACAAAAAGCTATCTCAGGCTGTATTTTTTTAAGCCTATAGATAACCAAGAACATAATTTACCCGTGTGACATGTTCAGCAGCTAATTGGTGCCCTCCAAAGAAAATGAGAACAGTAAACATAAGAAAAAATTAAAATTGAAATCTGATTAGATTTAAAATTTTTTCCTATTTAAAAGTATCTTGAAATTTCTACAAAGACTCATTGTCAATGAGTTTTAGGTTAAATATTATATGGAGAAATAAAATCTATTAATCACATAATAATCAACAAAACTCACATCCCAAGCTGAAGCTACTCAAGATGCATCTATTGACCAGGCCAGAAGTGTGGGAAGATCTCAAACTTGAGCAAGTAAATAAGGACACAGCGTTTTGTGATTCCTGGGAATTTTAATATTTCTACCTCGTCAGAGCTGTGTTATCTAGCTGTCTACCCATCACCCAGGAAGGGCGGCGGCTCTACCAGAATTTCCACTGCAAAATCACTAGAACCATTACTAAGAAATTAAAATAACTAATTCAAAAATTTGTTCTCTGATGATACAATGTGAAAAGTTAGCAGTTTTGAAAGCACCTAGCTCATCTTTGAGCATTTCTGTGGCCAAGCATTTTAATAACCATCAACATTTGAGGAAGCAACCTCCCGTCTGAAGAGATTGTCTTACTCACAACCAAAGCCATCTCAGGATTTTAAACCATCCATATTTTGCTCAAAAGCTTAAAAATGGCTTATTTAACAATTCTTTTGACTCTCATAGATGCATGTGCAAGTCTATTGCTTTAGGTAGCATCCTTGAACAGCTGGCAAAGAGAGACATAGAGACAGCTTTTCAATTAAACATGTCTTCTTCCCCAAAAATCGTTTGTCTTTTGAACAGAAACAGCGTACACTGCCCTGCCATAGGCCTTGTTTCTCTGAGCCGGAATCTTGACCACAGAGTAGTGGGCCTTCTTACTTTCAGACTCCATCACACAACGCTTAAAATATCCATTTCAAATCAGCCTTCTCCGCAAAAGGAACAAAATTCAAGGAAGTAAAAGTTAATATCGAAGTGCTTACCTGTGACAAACACTTCTGTGTCCAGAAAGGCAAAGCCAAAGGCCAGAAGTTTGAGCCACAAATACATGGTCATATCTGGAGATCAGCTGTGTCCCTAAGAAACGGCACGCGTCCCCCTGAAAGGCAAAATAATGGTTATCTCTCTAGAAGTTTGACTCTGGAAAGCTAAGCCGAAATAAAAGAAATGAGTGCATACCCTGCACTGTCTTATCAGATGGGGAGCAGGTTTCCTTCTCTGTTACCCTAAGAACAAACCACTTCTAGCTGTATGCACTGCTAAATGGTGATGTCAGATTCGGTTTTACTAACTTCTCCAAAAATACTGTAAAGGTCCTCTTTGCAGGAAGTTACAAAAAAAAAAAAGAAGTTGTTCAAAGTCAGTGCCACAGCTTACTTCCTTAATTCAAGTATTACGCTGTTAGTAGTTCTTCTGAATTCTCTTCTAAGGGAAGACAGTCTCATACCACTTACATGTTGCTCCTTTACAATATCCTTTTGAGAAAGCTTGATTCAAAAATGATACATCCATCCCCAGTTCATCAGTAATGTTCTTACTCAAGAGATGGCCAAACAGATTTCCCATAGGGGTTGGCGAGGTAACACATTGACTAAGCTGGTGAGAGGCTCTGAAGTTCCTTTAAGATGACCAAGTGAACCAAACTAATTGTCTTTCTGCTTATGTCTGCCAACTGTTAATTTTGAGAAGGAGCTCGGGCTCAGATGTTATACAGTTTTGTTAGTTCTGTGACTTTCCTATGTAAACTACCCCACTGGGCTTAAGGAACCTCCCAGATTGTTCTTTTGTTTGCTTGCTTGCTTGCTTGCTTGCTTGCTTGTTTGTTTTGGTTTCATTTGGTTTTATGCAGGTATCTGGAACTGTAGAGTTAGAATCCCCTTTCTGCCTCAGTGAATTCTGCTTGCAGACTGGAATGCCTCTACATTTGACATTGCTCTTTGCTGTTCACCAGTGAAGGGAGAGCAATGGAAACCAAGGATGTCTTTCACAAATTAACTTGTTTCTTTTTATCACATACTTTCCCATCCCACCCTACACACACTCCTGCCTAATTGCATATGTATATCCTATTTACATCATTTCCTCCGCTCCCTTTCTTCCCAGAACCTCTCCTATGTCCAACCTACTGTTTAATTAATCTCAAATTCATGACTTGATTTTCTTTAACTATTACTTTTATACCACACGTACTTACAACCTACTGAGTTTGTTTGGTGTTGTGTGTTTGTATGTGTGTGCAGGTGTCTGTGTGTGTGTGTACACTGCATAGGTGTTTGTATCTGTGTCTATGTTCACATGTGTCTATGTCTGTTTAGGGCTGACCATATCACTTAACTAATCAGGGATCTCACCCTGGGGAAGACTAATTCTCACTCTCAGCAGATCTTAAGTGCTTGGTCTGGAGTGGAGGCATCTGAGACCTTAGCATGTCAACTGATTTTATCATTATTCAGGTCTTGTTCATGCAGCAAGCCATTTTTTAGATTTCATGAGTGTATATTTCCTTTCATATTAAAATACATTATCTTGCAACAGGCTTCCTGGTCCTTTGGCTTTTGCACTGTTCTTTCTTCTATGATGTTTCCTGAGTCTTGAGTATAGGGGTTGCTTTATAAATACATAAATTGGGATTGGGTACCTCAAGGTCAGTTGTTCTCTACATTTGACCAGTTGTAGCTTCCTGTATGTTCTCTGTCTACTGCAAAACAGAACAAGCATCTTTGATGAGGAGAGAATTCTACACTTAATATGTAGGTATAAGGATTAGTATTTAGAATACAGTTAAGAATTTAATATACAATGCCTTTTATGTTGTGATGGCATGCCTAGTAAGTTTACCAATAAGAATATGCCTACTGGTAAAAAAAATGTCACTCTGAATTCAACAGTATAATTAAATAAATCTAGTTCTATTATGTTATCTATTTGCATTTTTAGAAAAGCACACTAACAACTTATTGTTTGAAATACGTCGATAATTTATAGGAGATAAGCAGGCAGTCAGAGCCCCCAAAATCACTAGAATCACCCATTAGAGAAAACTGTAGGGTTTTGTAGAGGTGTGTGTGTGTGTGTGTGTGTGTGTGTGTGTGTGTGTGTGTGTGTGCTCACCTTTATGTGCATGTGTGGATGCAGGAGGTTACCATTGGGTGTCTTCTTCTATGACTCTCCTCTTCTTCTATCACTCTCCATGTAAGTTTTTAAGTCAGAGTTTCTCACTGAGCCTGAGCTCACCATTTAGGCTAGATTGAACTACACATGCACAGTCCCTTTTACATGGGTTCTAGGGATCCAAACTCAGGTCTTCATGCTTGCACAACAAGCATTTACCCACTGAGTAATCTCCCCAGTACCTGAACATACATTTTTGATAGTTAAAACTTGTTTTCTCATTACTTTGATTCCAAAGAGCTCAGAATCAGCTTAAACTCTAGGGAACACAATTTTAAAGCCTCGAGGAACCACATATTTTTTGTATTTCCCCCAAATTATGTATAATACTATATAAGCTCTGCCACTTGTGCTGACAATACTATCCACGGGATTCATAGACTTTCTGACAAAACTTCCAACACGAGACAGGAGAAACCTCCATTTGAGTTTGTCAGGGTAGTCCATGTGATTCTCGAAATGATGCCAGTTATCAGCAGTGCCCTTGGTTGTTTCCCATTGCTGAAGGTAGCACACACTTTGGACACGGGGCTCAGATCTTATCTGAAAAGCTATACCCAATCTGAAACCTCCTTCCTGTAGGCTAGCTTTCACTGTACCATCTGCCTGGGGAGGGAGGGAAGCCATAAATAGTCCTACCCAGCCAGCTGTGGCACCGATGAACCACAATAATGAGCAACTCGTCAAGATACCCATAAAGGTACGATAGCAGCATTCATATCTGGGTGCTAATCAACAGTAGTCTAATTGGACTTAAGGTCCATTCAACAGGAGGGAAATTATGCCTCATATTAGGAACCTTGCCAACTACCTGGGGTTAGTGAGGTCATAGACCTTTGAGGAGAACCTACTACTACAACTTTACGAGAACAGAATAAATCCTCATGCCTGATTTCTATCTTTATACCTATAGATAAATGTAGCTCTCATTTTGCTCTTTATATCTATAGATAAATGTAGCTCTCAATTTGCTCCATCAAAGAAGTTTCTTTTTGTAGCAAATTGAAACCATTTTAGATAATCAACAAGTCATAATGCAGAGACCAGTGGACTGTGGGGAGCCCAGACCTAGTGGATACAACACAACTCCTACATGTAAGGCCCAGGAAACATCTCAGAAGAAGGGGAGAAAGATTGTGAGAGCCAGGGGACAAACATGTCTGCTGTAAGATAGTCTCTGGAAAGTACAGGGAGGCTATTCCTGTGTGTTGTATGACAAAATGCTTCCTGGGGAGACACAACACACACATTTACTCAACGCAGATAAGAATCCCACATCAGACCAAAGTGTGAATACTGCCAAAGTCCAGTACAATGGACCAATAAGTTTTATTCGGGTCACTTATAGGAGTACGGGTAAGGGGTTAATTAGAGGAGTAGAAATGACTCAAAGACAGTTACATCTCCAAAGCCTTCCCCAGCATGGGTAACAGTTCACATGGAACCTGGAGCACACTGCACAGCCCCCAGTAGCTTAACAGGTTAAAGAAAACATGCCATGATTTAAGTTACCCAGCAGTTTTTTTTTGTTTGGTTGATTGGTTGATTTTGTATTTTGCTCATGCAGACAAAAAAGTTTACAGATGTACAGTAAGGACAGACTCAGACAAATAGCTTCTATATTGATCACAGTGTGTTTGAAATTGTATGTAGGCTTTGGAGAAAGAAGAAAATTAGTATATACAGTTTTACATTTAAAAATATTGCTTTAAAATAAAAAATGAAGTCCTTAAAAAGGTACTAAGGTAATACAAAAGAAGTATGCCACATAAAGGTGGAAAATACACAGAGAGTCTGGATTCTGTATGTTATTGTGGTGGCTGCTAAGAAACACTAGATTGTTTTAAAAAATCTAGATTCAACCAATCTATATAATTTAAAGATATCTTGACTTCAAAATATAAGTCAAAAGATGTATTATTTTGGGGGAGAGGTTATGCTTTTATTTTCACAGGAAATCAGAGGCTGTGGATTCATTTTGGGTTAAAGAAAATCAGGTTTGAAACAGGAAGAACCCCTAAAATCCTGACTACAGACATAAAGACAAAAAATAAACCTAAAAGAACTTCAAGACATGTGATGTATATTTTGCCTGCACAAACATAAACAAAGAAATCATCTTTAGCTGACTTATTATAGTACACAGTCTATATTTGTATTAATACCGATATGTATATTATCTTTGAAAGTTTATGTATTTTCAGAGCAATGGTACCATACACTAATGAAAGTGGATAGTCCAGGTGATACAATATCTCAAAATACCTCTGTTATAGTCTCCTCAGAATTCTACATTCAGAACATCTTCAAGACTGCTGGCTGAGATGATCCAACTTCACAGAATACTTAAGTCAGGACTTGCCCATAATCCTGAATTTTCTCAAGATCTCCCAAAGATTACTAATGTCCCCAATCAACAGGAAGTAGTATAGAAAACTACACCCACATTCCCAAAAAAATGGGTTATGGATGTTTGTTATCATTTAAGGTGGTTTGTTTACAAGTTGTTATTAGTAATGGTAAAGCAAAAAAACTAAATAAAGACTAACTTCAGGGATCTTGTTCTGAAAAGAAAACGGGGTGGATATAGAAATGATAGGATAAAAGAATAGATTACTGAATCTACTTTAATCAAAAAAAACTCAACTATTAATCTTAAATACTTTCCATTGGTATGGATTTTGGTTTCTTGATACAAATTTAAAGTCAACTTTGTTAAACTTTATGTATATTTCTACTCTTGTTTAAGGTATTATGTTTATGCAGCTCATTTTAAAATGTAATGTATAATTAAAAATGCAGATTAAGAGTCACCTATAATAGTTAGGTCTGTTTTAAAGGTCATACACCAATATATTTCAGATATATAGGTAATCTTCAAACACCCCAAAGACCTATAAAATATGGTTTATAAAATGTTTCAATAACAGACTTTTCTTGACATGAGACACATCAGCTCCTGGTGGCACCTATCTACTTCTAAAAAGGATGACGGGCCTTGAAGAAACTCCATATGGAATTTTCTTTCCTTACACTGTATGCTATTCTATAGTACAAGAAACTGTCCTTGCTTTGACTTCTAAAAGTATGCTGTCCAAACTGGACAAGCAAGATACAAAGAAAGGTGACTGCCAAATTTTGCCAAGATAGAGCAGGACAGTC